ATCATATTTAAAGATGTGTTTTAGGCCTCAATTAGCTTTTTGAAAAAGTATAAAATGAAAATTACAAATGGTAAGAAAGTTTTGTGTCATTGTTTAATTAGGACCATTTTTTTCAATTTAATTATACACAAAATAATGATGTCTATAATTAATGATATCTTGGAGAAAATGAAATATGGCATTCTACATTATTATTCCATAGCCCATTTAATTATTTGTCTGTTGGTAAATAAATTTACTTGTGTGCTTTTCAAAAAATGATGTTTCAATACTCATTTCTATGCCCCCTTTTTGACATAGCAAAAGCGTATTTCTCTAAATATTTAGAAATGCATATTTTAAAATTCCAATAGCAACTTCTGCCAAAAAGTTCCTATCAATTTACTTTGTCTCCAAAATATAACAGAATGCAATTCTCCAACCAGATGAATATAGTAGGCCTTTACCACATAGAAATTAATTTTAAAAAATGTTTTATTTTTGAGCAATTTTAGGTATACAGAAAAACTGTGATGATACTAATTCTCTTATATCCTTTACACCTAATTTCCTAGTTGTTAACACTTTAAATCAATGTGACCTATTTGTTACAATTAATGATCAATTTCAATGAATTATTATTCACTAAATCCCTTGCAGTACTCATATTTCCTTAATTTTTGTCCAATATCTTTTTTGTTTAAGTTACACACACAATAACACATGAAATGTAGTCATCATGTTTCCTACTTTCATAATTGTGAATTTTCCAAGAATTTCTTAGTTTTTGATGATCCTGATGTTTTGAGGAGTACTCATTAGGCATTTTATAGAATATCCTCAACTGGGACTTGTTTGATTTTTTTTATTTTTATGAATTTAGGATAGGATCTACAGGACACACTACATAGATCAGACTCACAGTGATCCTACTGATTTAGAGGTGGAGGGAGGGAAACAAATGGGGAAGTAAAAATATTAAGATGCGTAATGTTCATGTACCAACTCCCTCCAATGAATGTAATCATTATGTACTGTAAATATGTTCTAATAAAACTGTTGAATAGGTAAAGGCAGTATCTGGATATATCTGGCATTCTGAAGAATGACTACCCTTCTACAATTTAGGAAAGGGGATGCTGAGATAGAAAAATCAACTCTATATATGCGCTGGTAAGCTCATAGGAAATATCATTGCCATTCCCTGGAATTTCCTAAAAGCTGCCCTCCTGCTTGGTTATTGTTTGATGTTATATCTAAAGAGAAATGTAAGAAGAGGCCTGGGATTAAAGATAGGATTACAGATGTGAATCACCACCCCTTGATCCAATATCCATTCTTAATTAGGATTGGTAAGGAGGATTGGATTTGGGCACACAAAATGACAGTCAAACAAAATGGCAGTGCAATTACTTTTGAAAAGAATAGCAATTTCTCGGAACTCTGAAGTATTC